GTTGTAGTGTAGTTGGTTTAGGTTAGGTACGTAGTAGTGGTAGGTAGTACGTACTACTTCGTTACGTTCTCGTCGTTCGTTTTCGTTCGTCTTCTCTTCTCTCTCTCTCTCTCTCTCTCTCTCTCTCTTCTTCTCTCTCTCTATATATATATATATATATATATATATATATGGAAAATGCTGAGGTTAGCCCACTAGCTCATATCTACATATGAGCTCAACAGCCTAGATTGAATTTGGGCCGATCTGACGGTTACGACCTCATTTCATATTTGGCTTTTAATTTTTTTTTTTACAAATCCAAATCACTTGAAATTTTAGGTCTCCATTCTTCTCATCAAGGAGCACCTAACAAAAATATTTTAAAAATAATTCGTAAAAAATAAATTGACCAAAATACCCCCAAAAACTTTCAGGGGTATTTTGGTTAATTATGTCATACAAATTATTTTTTTGATATTTTAATAGATTCTCCTATTTTTAAAAAATACACGTCTAAAATTTCAAGTGATTTGGATTTATAGAAAAAAAATTAAAAGTAAAATACAAAATGAGGTTGTGATCGCTAGATTGACCTAGATTCAATCTAGGCCGTTGGGCTCATATGTAGATATGAGCTAGTGAGCTAACCTCAGCATTTTTCTATATATATATAATTTGGGTGGGCTGTGGCGGTGGGGTGTTGCCACATTGGTGATGAGGCTTCCAAGTCGCCTAGAACATACTGATAGCGAATAGCAGGAAATCAGTGTTACCTAGGAAAGAAGGGCTCGAGTTTAAATGCTTTTCGAGAAGTAGTTGTTGTTGAAGGAACAAAGTGTTGAGAGAGAGAGGGTTGTGGAGGGTGTCAGTTGGCATATGGGAATTAAAATGAAGCAGACCACGATAGGAGGTGAAGTGGTGCACAGAGCTCCTACTTATTGAGGATCTTTATTCCCTGAATTTTAGTTTTAACCTCTGTCCTTCAATCTTTTATTCCCCTTTCTCCCACTTGCTGTTTTCTCCCTTGTCCTTCGTTGCTGTATGTCTTCTCTTTGTGTGCCTGTTATTACAACTTATTCTATATATTCCTTTTAATCACTAGAAGATCAATTGCCAAAAAAACAAAAAACAAAAGGAATAACTTTGATTTGACTGAAAAATTGCTGTGCTGCTTTAATTGCTTAAGAATCAAGCTGAGAGCTGGTCTGCCAGCTGTGCTATTTTTAAAAATCTCCTCAAATACAAATCAAATACCAAATGCCATGGAACTTGGGCAGTAATTTCTGCAGATTGGTGATGAATCTATCAGTTTGCTTCAAGATAAACTTTTATGCTTGGAAATTGAATCTCAAGAATGTCTGCTGTTCCTCTAGGTTGGCAACCAGCCAACTTCAAGAAACCTCATATCTTCTAGGTGCCTCTCCTTTTGAAACTGATGCTTTTGCAGGAGCCTGTGACCCCTCATTCTGAGTTTACCAATATGTCATGTTAGAAATGTAATATGATGGCCGCAGTGCTATTTTGTAAAAAGTGCAATAGAAGTGAAAAGACGCCAAGGCTATTTCCATCTCTATTCTACTTGTAGTGGGGGCGGAGTGACATCTTGAAGAGCTGCTCTGTTGTATTTGATGCTGGCAAGCACTTGCCGACATCTCCCCATTGACCTGTATGGAGCCCTTAGCTGTATTGAAAGTTAATGCACAAAAAAAAAAAGAAGAAAGAAAAAAGGAAAGAAAAGAAAAGGTTTGTCCCAAACCAACCCTTTCTACCTTGTTTTTCTGGGTATTTGGCCATATCTGTTCAACAGTTGTAAATTTGTTTTTCTAAGAAAACCCTTAATCTTGTGTGAAAATCGCTTCACCGACTTAAAAGCCCTTGATTTCAAGTTTGAGCTCCCCAGTATGGGTTTCAATCACCATTATCAGATATGTTGGTTCGGCAAAAGTGTTCCAAAGTCATTGGGTTCTACTTCTATAGTGAAGCACTGCAGTATGTCCTTCCAACACAGGGAGTGGTGTGAACCCTCTGCAGCCTTTATTATTGGAATCCTTCTCTCTATGATGCTCTTCAGCCAAAATATATTTTACATGTTTTTTCAGTTCTCTATGTTTTTCAATTTCCAAGGTCTTTCCGCCTAAAGCTTCTCTATCTCACCAAACCTAAGCAGGTCCCAAAGTGAATCTGACAGCATTGGTGTTAATAGCTCAACGCAATACCTGATGAATAGGGTGTTTGTGTGTCTTTACAGATGATTTCATCAATCTGTACAGGAGACATCAACCTTAGGCTTGAAAGGCTCAAATCCAAAGTCTCTCCTGACCTGTGTCATGTCATGGTAGAGGGGTTCCTACACCATGTAGATGTTTTGGTGGGTTATGAACAGAATGTGACCTCGGATAATATCAGTACGTGACCTAGGTTAACAAAATATAATGACTTTCTTTCAGAAACAAGTGTGTAACCTAGCTAATAAAATATAATGACTTTCTTTCAAAAAACAAGTGTGACCTAGGTTAGCAAAATATAATGAGTTTCTTTCAAAAAACAAGTGTCACCTAGGTTATGGAGCCATAGATTTGAGTGATGAATGAGCACAGGTAAGGAATGAGAGCTTCTGAAAAGGGTTGCAGAACTGGATTTCATTTAGAGTAAATTGACCTACAAATAGGACTTGCACACATGTATAATATATGATAACATGCCCTTCAACAAATATCAGAACTTTTTTATGCCCTAAGACCGCACAAACAAATGTGAGAACTTTATTAGAACTTCATAGTATGCATTATTAGGTCTTGGTATTTAACTTTGTCCTTTGAAAAAGAGCCTTATCTCATTATAGTGGGCATCTTCCAGTGTTTTGTATCTGTTATATGCCTGTTAGTAATGTACCTAGAACTGGAACCACTAGTTATTTTAAGGGTAGAAGTATTTCTGAGAATTTGTGAAATTTCTAATAAGTATGAAGGCTTGTGAGTTAACTAGGAAATAGCACTCTGTTTTTATTGATGACAAATTGCGAAATTACAATAAGCTGTTCTACTGATCCATTGATAATCAGTTTATTTATTTACTATTTGTAATATTGCAAAATGGGAATGCCTTTGTTTTTTTTTTCTTTGTGCTAGCCGGAAACAGTAATACCATTATCGCTAAGGGCATTGTCCATGATAATTTTGTTCCTATTTTCCGCTCTAAAGCATCTGCTGTCTGTTGATGGTTTTGTGCATATCTGCTATTTAGTAAAACCGCATAGCTCATTGAATTGACAACCTTATTAACTGTGGTCCATGTGATGCAGAAAACATGTAATGGCTTCACTTTTGGCCTTGACATTATTGAGTCTATCTGCCATTGTTTCCTTTTTTTTATTTTATGTTTTATGACTAGTTACTTGGTCTCACTATTACATTAGTTCTGACAAACCTGTAGTTTTGTGGTGGGTGGCAATAATTGACATGATTTTTGGGCGCTCTCAGATGCGTGTAAATGTAGTGACTATCACACCACAAGAACTTTTATTTTTATCTTTACTCCATATGACACTTCAGCACTTAATTTTTGATGTTATGCCTTCTCTTCCACTCTCATTGGCTCTCGACATTGACTTAATCGCGCTTCCTGTCTTACTTCTCTTTCCTTTTGTTTTTTCAGGATGTAATTTATTATCTGGAAAAAGCTTTTGGCTTTGGTTACATGATCAATCAAGGAGATGGTGGTAGTTCATCACAGCAGCAGCTTTCAAATCAAGTTCCAAAAGCTTCATCTACTCCAACGACTAATTTGGTAGCTGTTGACTCTAATTCTGATTCAAATGTTACTGGGAATGCATCAGAGGGCACATTGGCTAGAACACTATCAGATGAGACGCTGGATTATGAAAACCTTCTGTCTACACTGGACATTAGTGGCCAAAACTTGTCAAGAACCAGTAGTGGTCTCCCATTCTCAACTGATCTTGCTAGAGCATCACTTGAACGATCAGCCCCTGCTAATGACCTCAAACTCAAATTGCATCTTTACAAGGTCAGGCTTCTTCTTTTGACTAGGAATCTCAAGGCAACCAAGCGTGAGGTGAAGCTGGCCATGAACATTGCACGTGGTAGGGATTTGTCTACTGCATTGCTCCTAAAATCACAGCTTGAGTATGCTCGAGGCAACCATCGTAAGGCAATCAAACTCTTGATGACTTCAAGCAACAGAACAGAGTCCGGCATGCCAAGCATGTTCTATAACAACCTGGGCTGCATATACCATCAACTTAAAAAGCATCAGACCTCGACTCTCTTTTTTTCCAAGGCATTGGCGAGTTGCTCATCAATACGATCTGAGAAGCCCCCTAAGTTGGCCACTCTCATGCAGGACACATCCTGCCTTATCGTGTACAACTGTGGGTTACAGTATCTGACCTGTGGAAAACCTACCGTAGCGGCTCATTGTTTCCATAAGGCTTTGAAAGTTTTCTATAATCGGTCTCTTCTTTGGCTCCGCCTTTCTGAATGCTGCATCATGGCTGCTGAGAAGAGTGGGGAAGAGGTCAAGGTTCATGTGGTTGGTGGGGGCAAATGGCGACAGGTGATTGTAGAAGACATCCTCTCAAGAGGTAGGAAACAGGACATTTTGAGTGTGAATGGTGTCAAAGATGATGATACTTGTAAGCTCTCCATGCCCTTTGCTAGGCAATGTTTGCTCAATGCCTTGCATCTATTGGATGGTCTCGATTCAAAGTGTACGAAACGCACTGCTTCCATGTCTGTTGCAGAGGAAGATGAGTCCTCATCCTCATCTTCGAAGAACATTTCAAATCACAAGAACACAGCCAGCGGAGGAGACTTTAAATCCTTGAACCAACTTTCTCAGACTGGTGCTAATGGTGATCCTAAAGAATCCAAGGGAATTGCGAGCTCCAATGCTACCATTCAAAGCTCAGTGCATGCTTATGAGGACCTATGCAGAAATGAGAATTTTTTGATTAGGCAAGCTGTTCTGGCTGACCTTGCATTCGTGGAGCTAGCCCTAGAGAACCCATTGAAAGCTCTAGGGTTCTCAAAGGCACTTTTGCAACTCGATATCTGCTCTAATATCTATGTATATCTTGGCCATGTATACGCAGCAGAGGCGCTTTGTCGCCTTAATCGGCTTGAAGAGGCCTCTGAACATTTGCGGGTTTATGTGACCGGCGAGAGCAACATGGAGTTGCCTTTTAGTGATGAAGACTGTAGGAAATGGAGAAATGAGAAGGTTGGTGTGGATGGTGATGAACCGAATGGTTTTGCCAATGCCAAAACCACTCCTCCAAATGCTAATGCTCCTGACATATCGCACCCAACGTCTGAAGAGGCTCGTTTGGCTCTTGCAGTTAACCTAGTGGCCATGTCTGCGATGTTGGGGGATCTCGACAAGGCTAGCCACCATGCAAACGAGGCTCTTTTGATGGCACCATCAGACCCATCTGCTGTTTTAGCCTCGGTTTATGTGGAGCTTCTTCATGGGAAGTCACAAGATGCTCTCAACAAGTTGAAACAGATTAGGCCTGTAAGATTCTTGCCTGTCAATGTAATGTCTTCTAACAACCCGTAATGTTGTATTAGTTTCTGGTTTAAGTCTCCGCAATTGAGTGTTAGATAGAACATGAGCGTTCGATGTTTGTACCATATCGCTTTAGAATAAGGTTTATATTTAGTTTTTCTTTCTTTCTTTCTTTTTGGTGGCATGGCACTTTGTTTTTGTCCCCCCACCTTCAGAGTCAGATGTATTCCAGATAGAGATCCTCAATTTGGTCACTTGGTTAATTCAAAAAGATTCAGTGGAGAGATGAGATTCTCCTGGTAAGACTTGGGGAGTTGCATTCATTTTCTAAAGAAGCAATGGCAGATTTGCCTTCTTTCCGTGTTTCCCTTTGTGTAGCTATACCAGCATTTCTTTTTGTGACACAAGTGCACACGCTGAGTGGTTGTGATTGAACTCCGCCTAAATTATTCAATCAGGTGATTCTTGACCAGGCAGAAAAGTGTATTTCCATTTCGTTTTCGAATCTAGATGTGCTCATGTAAGTGATGGCTTTCTTTTTCCTTCATCCTCTCTCTTATATATATATATATATATATATATATATATATATATATTATTATTATTATAGTTTTTTTTCTTTCAGGGGTAGTTGAACTGGAGTTTTGGAACTTGGGAAGTGGTGTTGGAGCCACCAACACATTGAGGGTAACGATGTTATTTGTATGGTTCTTGAAGGCTGTATTTAAACCCCGTTCCCATACAGGAGGCGAAATGGTGTTAATGTGGTGATGTTTAGGTGCCTTCCCTTGTGTTGGGATATACACAAATGTTGTAATCACATTACTTTTTGAGTGATTCTCATTTATTCGCTTGGTAGTATCGATCCTGTCACGAAATTCTGTACAAGAGATCCTTAATAGCTTATTGTGTTTTAGTTGCAATAAGGAAAATTGGTTCATGTCGGCTGGACCTCATTTCGGTCCAAAAACTGTAAAGCATCTATCTTAGAGATGGATGCAAGTAGGCGTTCCATCTAAAAACAATCGAAACTAACAGTCTAAATGTTTTTTTACTAGAATTATTATTTTTAGATTTTAAATTTTATTTATTTCTTCATATTCATGATCTCCACTCTCACGATCATTATTTCCTCTTATTAACTATTTCAGGTTAAGATGTGAATTCACTTAATTTGGGAGAACTGGCTAAAAATAATGATAAAAAAAAAAAATTGATTGAATCAGCAGGGAATCGGAAATTAAAATAAAATAATACTAACAAAATATTTTCGAGTTATGCAATTTCAAGCCATCCGAGGATCAGATCACCCACCAACCTATTCGCTTTTTCTCAAGGAAAAAGTTTATATAAGCTCAATAAACCCACCCATTTGTCCACTTTTCTAGAACACCCATTAGTAGTGAAGAGAAACACAGGGGGGCACCTCTCTATCTCTCTCTCTCTTGTTATCTCACCTTGGCTAGGACCTGCCCGACTCGGGCTGGGTTGCTCGGATCCATCTGGGATACTCGACCTAACCCATAGCCTGGTTCCGTATTGGAGGCATGCAATCCTACACGGCTCCTAAAACACCAGCAAAGTCTATTCCAAACTCCCAATAAGTTTTATCTTATAGAAACGGATAAAATCGGTCGCTCTACTGATATAGCTGCTGCACGTTTCGCTTCTCTATACTTACAATAGCATCTCATAGCATCTCGCTCCTAACGTCCGCTCGACTTGTATACCATAGCGCTTGATACATTGACCTGCAAGCCTTGACATTACAGCCAGCCATAGCATCTCACCGTCCCTCAACTTGCATACCATATACCCCTGAAATATTGATCTGCAACTCTGAAACACTTACCATAACATCTCGCGACTGACTTCGCTCGACTTGCACCTCGTTTCTCCCTAGGGAGAATATGAATTTATCGATGGCTTGAATCTTTCCGTCACCATTGCAATGAAACATTTCCCTGAGAGTGTAGTATGATAGCAAACTTAACGATTTGAAATTGAAAAGAAACATGTCACTAAGGTAAGAATACATAATATTATCGACAGAATACAAAATATTATCGACTGTTAGATTTGAGATCATTTTTCCAAGGTAATTATAATGAATGCCTAACTTAAACCTAGTAAGTTGGATAATGATTTATTAATACAATTTATATACATTAAGTTCATTTACCTTTGACACACAATTATTAGCGACTGTTAGATTGGGTGGTTGAGGGTTTGTATTGTTTAGACAGAGGCTAAAACAAATTTTCTTGAATGTTGTGACACAACTTCCGCTATTGAATTTCGCATCGGTCAAAGTGGCCTTTCTTGTACAAAAACTAAATGGTTTTATAATATACAATCCCTTAGTAATATTAATTTCTTTTGTAATATACAATAACAATAAAAAATTTAAAGGCTTTAACGTCGATAAGATTTAACATAAGTATGTTTGGATTCGTGTGGGTTGCATGTAGGTATACAATGGGAGATCGGAAAAAAATTCAATTACCAAAAGGTAAAGTTACGCAGAAATTCTTATCATGTGCATAAGTTTTATAAAGAAATTCAATTACCAAAATAAGAATTTCTGTGTAACATTACCTTTTAATTGTAAAAAAAGAATTTCTGCATAACATTACATTATATTTAATAGAAAGCCATATTTTTTTTTGCAAGCGGGTACTTGTTTTAGTAAATATGGTTGTAAAAAACCTTTATTTAAATAGAGGTGTGTTGTGAGAAAATTGGGTCACATGTGTTGTTAAGGTTATCTTGGATGTCAAGATTGTAAAGCCGTTGTGTACCCCATTTTTCATCTTTGAATGAAAAATTAGTTTTTTTTTTTTTCATCTTGATTCTTCTTCTTCTTTCTATTTGGTTGAGTTTTGGGTTAGTGTGACATTGTTATACTAATTGAGAAGCGGATTGTTCTGGTATTGTGGCATCCGTCTTTCTCTGAAAAAAATATACACTTATTGAAATTTATCGAAAAAGAAAAAAGATGGCTTTCTATTAAATATTTTTGTGGAAAATTCACCATAAGTTTTATAAAACATTCCAAAATATGTTTTGAAATATTTGAAAATTGGTCATATGTCATAATTATTTTAATTAGACTATACTTTTAGCATATTTAAAGGAAATATGCAAATTTTACTAATAACAAAATGAAAAAGACCAAATAATGTCGAGGGTGGGTTTCTCTCTCTTCATTTCATTAGGTTTTAGCTCCTCTATCTTGCATTCGGATGTAAAGATTATGAAATAAGTATTTTTGAATGTGGTATATATGGGGAAATATATATACATGACTCTCACTCCCCCCTTGTTCCAATGGTTAGATTATGAAATAATTGCATATGAAAGTTCTTTCCTCTTTCATTCAATAAATATGTTAAGATTGAAATTTGGGTGAAGTTGGTTCCTTACCCCCGCCCTGCCACCCCACCCCACCCCACCCCATCTTTACACATTTAATTCAAAAGCATATTAGGAAATCTTGAGCGGTTTCTTCTCTTTCATTTAAGTATCATGATATTAAACTCTCTTCCTAATCTTCTTAGGATTACAAAAATTTATGATGTATTTACAATGATAGTTTAAATCATAAACCAAAAAAAAGAGAGAAAATTTGGGATGTAAAAAATTATTTGTGAATCAAATTTACTTCTTTCTCCTTAAATCCCTCCCTTAAAATCTCTGACTCAATTTTCATATATACAAGCATCTCTATAATTCGCACTTTTATCTTTAAGATATTCTTTACTTTCTTTGATGATAAAATATATTAGAAATTTTAGAAGAAAAGCTCTTAAATCTCCTCTTTCTCTCTCTCTCTGCATATATATATATATATATATATAGATAACGATTTGCGCTCACCCTTTAACTATGGCATAATATATGTAGGATAGATAATTATTATTTTATAATATTGGTAGTTGAAGTCTGAAAAAAAATTTAATAAATACCTAGGCAAAATAACCAGATAATATCCTCATATTTTCCCTTGTGTTATTATCGCTGAGCGATAATTATGAGCTCTTTATTTTATGCGCTCCCCCCCTCTCCGGTTGTACACTAGTTCCCTTTAATATTTAAAGGGAAAAGTTTATATAGAGTCGAGGCTCTAAACAATCAAATTTGAGTCTACTTCAAAAATTTCACTAGAAGAGGTTGTTTTGATGCCAAATATATTCAAATTGATCATCTCGAGATCAAAATGCATAGACAAGAGAAAAAAATGGATTTCAAGTTTTGGAAATATTGCATTTTATAATGCATTTTTGGACTATCAATTTTCAAGATTATCAAATTTTCATAGATTTATCAATCTACACTATTTTTTATGTTTTAAAATTTATAAATAAATATAAAAATATATTTTAAGGCTATCTCAAAGATTTTCAGTATTAAAATCACATTTCTAAATGCTATTTGAAGGTAGGCTCTAATTTGAATGTTTAGAGCCTAGGCTCTATACGAACCACACCCATATTTAAACTAGGGAAAAGTTTATATAGTGCCGAGGCTCTAAACAATCAAATTTGAGCCTACCTCAAAAATTATACTAGAAGAGGTTGTTTTGATGCTGAAATATCTTCAAATTGATCATCTTGACATCATGATGCATGGACATAAGAAAAACATGGATCTCAAGTTTTGGAAATAGTGTATTTTGTGGCATATTTTTGGACCATCAATTTTCAAGATCTTCAAGTTTTCATAGATATGTCGATCTACACTATTTTTTAATCTTTAAAATTTATAAATAAATATTGAAATGTATTTTAAGGCTATGACAAATATTTCCAATATTGCAACCACATTCTCAACACTATTTGAAGGTAGGCTCTAATTTGATTGTTTAGAGCCTAGGCTCTATACAAACCGCGCCCTTTAAACTATACTTCCCTTATTTCTTTTGAATGTACGTGCTAAAATTTTTATTTTTATTGTAGAAGTTTGCATAACAAAGATCATAGGAAGGATAAAAAAAACTGTTCTGTTTTTGAACTAGGTAAATCTACAACTAAGGGTAAGATTATCTTACAAAATTATTAATATTGTCAAATCGTCGCATTCAATATTAGGGGTATTTTTTTTAAGTTTCATTTCACTCTAGTACTTTTTAAAAACATTGTAAAAAAATACCTAAATTGCACTTATTTAGTGTTGGGAACCTTGGGAAAAAAGGGACATTTTGATAATTTAGCTCTCTTAAAATGACAAAAATACCTTTGGTTGTTCAAAATTAGTTAACATCAAATAAATGTTTACAATGAAAAAAGTTAGTTTCACGTTACTAACTATGATCAATTGGGGTATTTTTGTCATTTAGCAGTTCCATTTTGCACAACTATGGGTACTTTTGTCATTCGGCTAGGGCTACTTAAATGGTGCTCAATTACCAAAATTATAGTTAATTTTTACTATAATTAACTATAATTATAATTATACTTAAATTAACTATAATTATAATTATAGTTAATTATAGTTATAGTTATAATTATAGTTAATTATAATTATAGTTATAATTATAGTTATAGTTATAATTATAGTTATAATTATAGTTATAGTTATAGTTATAGTTATAGTTATAGTTATAGTTAGTTATAGTTATAATTATAATTATAATTATAGTTATAATAACAATTGTAGTTAATTATAATTATAATTATAGTTAATGATAATTATAATTATAGTTAATGATAATTATAATTATAGTTAATTAACTATAATTATAATTAACTATAATCATAGTTAACTATAATTACTTATAATTAACTATAATTATAGTTAACTACAATTAACTATAACTAACTATAATTTTTACTTAATTTTTACTATAATTAACTATAATTTACTATAATTTTTAGTACTTAAGTAAAATTAAATTTAAAATCCTAATGTTAAATATGATGATTTGACACCAGCAATGAGTTTATAAGGTAACTGGATCCTTTAATTGATATATTTCCCTTACAAGCAAGCAGTGTTGTAAAGAAGAGGGAGAAAGAGAGTGGCTTCATAAATAGGTATCCAGATTGAGGAAATTATCAATCTCTAGACTTTCCATCTCCATTGAGTATGGATTCTTACTGTTTCCTGAGAGAGAATGAAGAATTGGAGAAAGCCGAGAGAGATGAGGAGACTGTTTTACGATTGATGTCTATTAACCTCCGTTTTGGTACAAGAACTTTTCAGGATCCTTTCTTGTATCATTCATTGATTAACACAGATTTAATTGGATTGTTTCTTGTATCATAATTGATCCAATACAAATATTTAATTGGATTATTTTTCGTATCATAATTGATCCAATACAAATAAATTTATTCATGCATTTCATAACTAATTGATGTCTATAAGGTAAAATTACAGATGAGATGATATTTACAGTGAGAAAAAAGTTTAATGGAAATTTGTCCCGATCAATGTTTATACTATAATACTGATTGGAAGACATCAATAGCTTAGATTGTGGTTTTATAGGGTTTTTTGAATGCGCAACTTAATGACATAAGAATATTAGTTTTTTTTTCATAAAAATAGTTAATTATCTTTTGAATATCCTGATAGAGTACTCGCCATGACCAATATTTAATACTTATCCACCATGGTAAAACTTCACTGTGATGACACCCTTTTCCAACGCAGTGAAAAGTGATCGCGATGAGACTTGTTCAACATCCTTAACCACCAAGGATATCATGCCACTAATGGAATCACCGGAATGAGCATGATCATGATCATGCTAATGGCTGCCATCGTGGAAGATGGGATTTCATTATTTTTATTTTTTTTGGAAGGAAAAAATCTAGTTATTTTTACAAACCAATAAAATTCCGTAGAATTTGTAAGAAACTGTCCCATGTTAGCTTTTTGTTTTAAAAAATTGTTTCAAAACAACTTTTATATGGTGCTAGTCTATTTTTATAATGTGGACCTTTTAGTCAACACTTATTTTTCTTCATGTTTTTTACAAAAGCATGCGGTGGTGTTTAATGCGAATTTTTTTAGGGTAAAGCTTTCTATGTCCCCCTACAACATTTGTGGAAGTTCTCTCCTCTCCCTTATCCAACCACCCATTTTTTAATGGAGGGTTAAGATTGTTTCAATCACAATATCGTACCTTTACATTGTTTTAGTTTTAATTTTTTTTTCTATAAACTTTTTTGACACCAAATTTTGGAAATTCATTCCTCTATTAAACTCGCATTAACGGAAAAGTACAAAAAAAATATTTTCAATAAAATAAAATGACCAAAATACTATATCCTTGAAAGTTTCAAGAGGTA